TACTGTCACCAGTGGTGGGTGGACAGTATCCAATCCACTGGGGGTGGAATGGAACACAAAAGTGAAGGAAGTGCAAATTCTTCCTTTCTTCTTGAGCTGGGATGTCCATCTTCTTCTGCCCTGGAACACCAGAACTTCCAGTTCTCGGTTTTTGAACTCCAGGACTTACAGCTGGTTCTCAGGCCTTTGACTTGGATTAATTCATACCACTGATTTTTTTGGCCAATCTCATACTTTTAAGAATGGGTGCATTAGGAGCATTGTAACCATTTTAATAGATTAAAAAATTTCTCGCATTTGCCATATGCTTTAATGTGCACAAAAACTTTTACATTACAGTTTTGATTACTGTGAAACAAACTCCTGTGGAACTTTTAAATTAATACTTCTGCTCATTTATTTACATTTTTCCTCCCATATTTTAACAGTTCTGAATTCGAGATGAGTCTTATAATTGTCACCCACCAGGAATGACCGTGACTAGCTGTCACTCAAGCTTGGTGCTAGTGCTTTGTGTTGTGACTTCAATTGAGTCATGTGCATGGTCGACACCACATGTGCTAATTGATGTTTAGTAGGTCTTAAAAAATTGTATGATTTGCCTTTGAAAAAATAAAGTTATCATGTACACAGAAAAGTACAGAAACAGAGGTTGGGGATGAAATGGGACTGAGTGAGTCCAAGAGCCGTTATTAGAGGAATGTCTACAGTTCCATGCGGTGATGCAAAGCAACCATTAAATGCTTTACCTGAGAAAGAAGTACATCACCCTGTGGATAAATCCATGCTTCATTTTGTTGCTGAAATGGATACAAAAGAATTACCTATCACACACCACACAAAGTACCTAAAGTCAGAAGCAACTGCCAGGTCCCTCAGATAGCAGATAAAAGACATTTTGAAGTAAAGCACTACTCATTGGACATTATTAAGGCATCACATCGTAATTTCATTGGTAGGATTTTCCCTTCCTTAGTGGAGTGTCATTATCAAGCACCTATTCAGTTAAAGGTTCTCTGCAGGTGCTTTCACATGACATTTAAGCCTCACACCAATTCTGTTCCATCTCATCCCAACCTGGAGGTGAGAGCTGAGCATTTTGCTCAGATTGGTACTTTGGTTTTGGTAGAGTTAGGACTTGAATTCTCATGTATCCATGCCCAGAGCCTGTACCTCTTTCTCTAGACTCCACTGTCCTGGTAGAAATCTCCCTGATTTGCCAACCCCTCTATCTTTTCTTTTTTTTGAAGGTGTATTTTTTTCCTTTTTATTATTTTAGTTGTTTTAAATTTATGTCTGATAACATATTCTGAAAACACCGTCCTGAGGCCGTTTCCAGAGGGAGCTGAGCTGTCTACACAGCCCTGCCCTGTCTGAGCAAGAGCATGCGTTTGCACCTACACCCACCAAGGACCAAGGGCAGAGCCACCTGGGCCCAGCCCTGTGCCTACCCATCTAACAAACTGCACATCAGAGGTGGGAGGACCTCTGCCTGCAGCCCTGGCTTCTGGGAATTTCTGATCCACACAAGCCTGGCAGGAAGTGATGGATGGTGGTATGATGTGGATCCAACCCCTCTATCTTTCAGAAGAATCTGTGGGGTGGAATGGCACCAAGATGTCTATACACAAGATGACATCTTGGGTTTTTCTTCGTTTTTCATCTGAAAACTGAGTTAGATTTTGGGGACTGGAAATCCTGATGAGGGCATTTTTGGTGTTTACTTCTCTTCAGTGCACCTTGAATTCGGCTCACATAGTCTCTCACATCACCTCACAATTGTTTCCTAAAATGGAAAATGCTTTTCAACCAGGTAATCTTTACTTATGCCTGAGAATAAGCCATACTCAATAGACCCCAAAGGACCATCTTTAATTCAAAGGCGATAAATTGAAAATGATCCAATAAATGTCCCTCAACATCACCAGCTAAGGATTTTCTAGAAAACCTAGTATTTAAAAAAGCATTGAGCATTTCTTTTTACCAACTGCAGGTTCTCAAGAAATAATCAGATGAGATTCTCACATATAAACATTTACTATTTTCCATGGCTATTTTGGGTGGGAAAAAGAGTCAAAATGAAGTAAAAAATGAAAACCACTTGAATTTCTGTCCATGCTTATAATTGTATTCATACCAACAGTTTTAAAGGTTTAGACATGTTTAGAAATGTGGTTTCTTCTTAGATCAGGAGCAGGAATGGCTGCCCTCTTGGGAAAGGCCAGTCTGTGGTGAGCTAGCCGGCAGCAAGGGTGGAAGTGCCAGAAATATCAGTGGGAAGCTGAGGATTCTGAAATTCCTCATGTGATTCGGAACCCAGGAGAATTTGACTGCATTTGGAATCACTGCATCATGGAATGAAACCAGAAAGAAGATTGCTTACTTCTCATACATTTACTTCTCTTTAGATCTGGTTCCAAGGCTTTGAGAATTGTGTTATAAACTAGAGGCATTTCATTAATTACGTAACAAGGACGTTGTAACAAGCAGCAAAGATAATTATTTTCCTCCAAATTGAGCTGGTAAGGCCATTCTCGTCTTTCTGAGGACAAGCATTTAGTGAAAACAGAATCAGCACGGAACCAGCGTTTTACTGTAATCTCTGCTATGAAAGATTCGAGCACATGATTGGCATTTAAATTATTAATAAGTAATGCAGTGTCACTTAATATTTTATTTCCATTCATCAGTTACCAGTGTTTCTTAATCAAACTAGCTAGAGTTACTCACTGACTCTTAAGAAAGAGCTGGTAACCCTAGCCGGTTTGGCTCAGTGGATAGAGCATTGGCCTGTGGACCGAAGGGTCCTGGGTTTGATTCCGGTCAAACCCAGGCACGTACCTTGGTTGCAGGCTCCTCCCTGCCCCAGGCCCAGGGCCCGTGCAGGAGACAACCAATCGATGTGTTGGTTGCCTCCTGCACAAGCTTGTAGAGTTTAAAATAATATTTAGAGAATCATTTACAGCTATACCTGCTCTCACACCTTTTCTTGCCCGGCTCCATAGAAGGGGGTGTCCCTCTAGTCCAGTGATGGCGAACCTTTTGAGCTCGGTGTGTCAGCATTTTGAAAAACCCTAACTTAACTCTGGTGCCGTGTCACATGTAGAAATTTTTTGATATTTGCAACCATAGTAAAACAAAGACTTATATTTTTGATATTTATTTTATATATTTAAATGCCATTTAGCAAAGAAAAATCAACCAAAAAAATGAGTTCGCGTGTCACCTCTGACACGTGTGTCATAGGTTCGCCATCACTACTCTAGTCCAAGGTAAATCACTTGTCTATACTCTGAATGTACACAGTAAAATTTAATTTGCCATGGGCCCACCTATCAAGCTGTTGCTTGGAAATTTTTTCTCTCAGTGAACACTGCCATCTTCATTAGGTTTCTGAAGAAAGCATTAGGGGTCATCAGAGACTCCTCCACATTCTGACATCCCAGCTCTATCCAACCCATCAGTATCCTGTCCATTTCACTGGTTCAGTATTTTTCCTGCACTTTCATTTCCCTCTGTCTCCCAGCTACTACATTGGTCTAGGACTAAACACCTTCTAAGAACCTCCCAGATCATCTCCCTGCTATAATATCCAATATCCCTTTCTCTATACCACTATCAAAATGATTTCTCTCTTCTTAAAACCTTTTAATGGTGCTTCACTATCTTAAGGACAAAGTTCAAGATCCTTAGCATGGAACCAAGTCCTTTATGCCATGGCCCTGCAGGGAAGCCAGCATCATCCTGCACCATTCCCCAGAAGGCCCCATATGGTCCAATCCGAGGTAAGGAGTTGCTGTTTTGCAAATGGACCATGTTCCCTCTCTCTCCTTTGCCTTTGCAAGGTGGTTCCCTCTACTGACCATTTGCTCTGTGTCTGCCAGCAACACTCTGAATAGTTCCTTAAGGCAAGCTCATTATTTGACAACTCTGGGAAACAGGGAGGGAGTCCATGCTGAGTTCAAAGTCAATTGCTGTGGTGCCTTCTCCTGTGTTCTCCCAAACCTCCGTCACGGTACTTGCCATAGAGCATTTCAGTGTTTGTTGTAAACATCTGTCTCTTCCACTACACTGTACGTTCCTTGAGTGGAGGAGTTGAGTCTTTATTTTTGTCTTTCCAGGCCAAGCATGGTACCTGTTGCTTGGTAGCTGCTCCATAAATTGCTACGGCATAAAGGAGTTTAATCTTTTTTCATCGCTTCTGAAAACTTTCAGGTAGCCCTTAGAACAGCGGTTCTCAACCTGTGGGTTGAGACCCCTTTAGCAGTCGAACGACCCTTTCATAGGGGTTGCCTAAGACCATCCTGCATATCAGATACAGTGGGGCCTTGAATTCCCAGTTTAATTCGTTCCGAGACCGAGCTCATTAAGGAGCTCGTTAACTCAAATTACTCTGTCAACTCAATGCAAAAAATCGGTGGAGAGATAGCTGGTATCTCAAAAAACTCGTTAGTCGGGACACTCATAAGTCAAGGCCCCACTGTATTTACATTACGATTCATAACAGTAGCAACATTACAGTTATGAAGTAGCAACGAAAATAATTTTATGGTTGGGTCACAACATGAGGAACTGCATTTAAAGGGCCAGAAGGTTGAGAACCACTGCCTTAGAAGGTCTTTTGTCTTGCTCACCCTGAGTACTTTCATCTAATTCCACATGTTCAGTGACCATCCATATACCCAACAAGGCCAACTTTTGACCTCCAGAACTCCATGTCCCACTTGTAATAACTTCTGTGTCTCTCAATACCTCAAAGTTTATATGTTAAAAGTGAATCATTTCCTTCCTCAATTGACCTTTTCTATTTCCCGTCCTAGTGAGTTAGCAGTGGTCAAGGATGAATTAAGGGTATCGACTACTTGTAATTTTTCTCCAGGTTTCTATGCTAAATCACACGGTTAGTAAATTTCTAGGAAAAATTGATCCTTTATGTATAGTCCAAGTTTGCTTTTGTATTAGTGATCTACTGCTACATAACAAATCAGCACACACTTAGCAACTTAAAAAAGCACATATTTATTATCTCGAAGTTTCCGTGGGTCAGGAGTCCAAGCATGGCTCAGCTGGGTCCTCTGCTCAGGGTTTGCAAAGCTGCGGTCAAGGTGCAGTCAAGGTGGCTGGGCTCTTACACGAGGTTGGGGATCCTCTTCCAGGCTCACTGGTTGCTGGCAAAGTTCATTTCCTTGAAGCTGAAGGACTCATAGCAGCTTGCTTATTCCAGGCCAGTGAAAGAGAGTCTCTGACTTGCTTTTAAAGGGCTCATCTGATTAGGTCAGGCTCACCCACGATCATATCCTTTTGATGACCGCAAAGTCAGCCGATTAAGGACCTTCATTATATCTGCAAAATCTCTTTACCCTTGCCATAGAACGTCACATAATCAGGAGAGAGACCAGTCTATCTCTTTTGCCATATTCCATTAGTTAGAAGCAAGTTGCAGGTTCTACCACACTCAAGGGGAGAAGGTTATACCGGGTGTGGGTCATCGGGAGTTATCCCAGAATTCTGCTTCCCACAGCTTAATTCTTTAAAAAAAGCATATGGTTAATGGCAAAACCCAAAATCTCAAGTGTAAATGGGAGTGGCACAGAATTTGGGGCTGGAGAAAATGGTTTCCTCTGCTTATCCTAGCTTACACAAATGTCCTGAAGTTAATGCAAATGCCATTAGGATATAAGATGTGCTAGGAATCCTGCCGCTTTTGGGTACTGCTTCTGAGGAAAAACTGTTCCACTGGTATTTAGTAAAAAACACATGACTCGGCGAATTTATCTTTTTTTCTTGACATTGGCAGTGACAATGCAATGCCATTGTACACAGTCAGTGTGAGGTCGGCTTGCGAGTCCCTACAGATATGTGGTCACCTCTCGACTTTCTCTCTCTTTTGCTTGGGCAACTGCCACATTGATGCACTGGAGCCACTCTTCTGCGTTCTTCTCATCCTTGGCCTTGAAAACATAGGTTTTATTGTCTGTGAAGATTTCAAAAGCCCGAGGGAGAGAGCGGTCCCTGCGTTTTCTGGCCACAACCTTCACGCTCTGTACTTTGCTGAGTTCTATTGGTGAGTCATCAGGATCGTCTTTCTGAAATGCACATGGGAAGTAAAACACATGAGCTGGCTCCCAGAACATGGAAAGATCTCTGGCTACTGGAGGATTTTCCAAGAGGATCAGAATCCTTTCACTTCATATGGCTCAAGGCCTTTGTTATTTGGGGCGCCATTGCCTCAAAGGGTCGTTAGAACAAGAAAGGAGTGAACAATTGGCCCTTTGTTATCGTATCATAAATTGGCACAAGATAGCTAATTTCTAGAAATTCTACCTTGGGATTGGGGAAAATGCTTAATTCATATTTCTTTGATTTTATGTCATTTTCTATTAACATTAAAACTTCATTAATAGAGCAAAACATAACAGTACAATTTGGAGTACCATTAACTCAGAATTTAAGATAATTTGGGAAGCATGGAATTTAATTTTACTTTGTGCTATATCTGAGGAAGGGGTATTCATAGAATAAAAAGGGTTTCAGTGTTTAAGTAGATCAAATTGTTTTTGAAACTCTGTGGAACGTTGGAAGCGTCATCTGTCTGCTAGCATGAATAGTTTTAAGGGGTCAGATACTTGTTTAAAGCAATTTCAGGTCTTTAACTCCATTTTGTCTCCTGGAGAATGTACCTGTGGTTGAGGATCTTGTCAATTCCCCTTTCCCACCTCTCCTGTACAGTCACCCTTCTTCCACTTTGCAATGAAAAGATACCCTTCTCACTCATCCCAAACTTTCCATGGTGCATTATGCAACTTGGAAAAATCTCAAGAGCATCAAACAAATTTTAAAAAGCAATACAGAATATTAATGTCAGGGAAGCATCCTTCAAACAAAGCAACAATAATCCCCATTGTTGATTAAGTGATGCATTTCCAATAGCATTTCACTTTTTAATGTTTAATAACTAGTAATATAATAATACATTTGGTATTATACTTACGGCTTTTCATAAATGATATAATTTTTTAAAAGAGAAAAATATAAAACCTTAGTATTTAGAGACTGATGGTCACAAGAAATTAAAATTAAATTTCAACTTATATACATAGTTTTATTGCAATGAAAAATGATAGGGTCATTACAGTGAAATGCTGTGGGAGAGGTAGAACAAAAATATGATTTCAAGGAAAAGTGACACAATGTAAACATTTTTATTAAAGAATAACTAATTTATGTAATTTTTAAATGGATAGTGTTAGGTGTCAAATTGCTATGGTATTTTATTTCAGTGGTTACATTTAAAGAAAATATGTGATATTTTTATTTTAAAATGAAAATGTTTATAATTCAACAGAAATTACAGTTTGTGCAACTGTTTAAACTTATGATTAAAGTGTTGATAACACCTTAAAATACTATAGGTAATATAGATCTTTCCAAATTCTTTTAGGGGCTATATAGGATAAACTTGGAAAATATCTGCACTAGACAATATTTGTCACCTTACTGTGGTTTACAGTATCTGAGGATAGTAAAATTGTATTTCTTTGGGTTAGCCTACAGTACAGAGACTGATAAATGAAAGAACTGATAAAAAAAGATGTTATCATAGTTATTTCAAGAAGGACAGTGAATTAACCAAGATAGAAATGGCCAGGAAGTTAAAGGACACCATTGCCTAGCTGGTTGGCAGAGATCTTAACAATAGAAAGTAACACTATAATCTTTTAGTTTAAAATGCACATTTTTTCTCATTTACAAGAAAGGGTCTTTACGATGTGGCTAGACTGCTGACCACTGCTAGGTTACTGTGTCCCTGGGGATGAAGGAGATTTTGCTGTGGTCCTTATACTATTTCCCAATATTTGAGCCATATGTTTTGTCAGGTTTCTGGAATGTTAAACCATTATTTCCCGATAAAGATGTCAAACAAGTTAGCCAACTATAAAATAGCTCATTCTCTAAACTTTATTAAAAAGCTCTGAATCAAGAAGGATAAAGGTCATTATTTGAGTTCAGGAAAAACACTCTTATGTACTGACTCTGCTTTGACTCTAGGGATCTGATAAATCCCTACATTTTAACTTCTATTCCTGCCTTTTTATATGAAAACAGGAAATTCAGATGGCCATTTTTAACACTTTAAATGTGAACCTATACTAAAAAAAAAAAATGTTTCTTTAAACCTCCAATAACTGTCTAAATCAGCGGTTCTCAACCTGTGGGTCGAGAGCCCTTTGGGGGTCGAACGACCCTTTCACAGGGGTTGCCTAAGACCATCAGAAAACACATATATAATTACATATTGTTTTTGTGATTAATCACTATGCTTTAATTATGTTCAGTTTGTAACAATGAAATTGGGGGTCACCACAACATGAGGAACTGTATTAAAGGGTTGCGGCATTAGGAAGGTTGAGAACCATTGGATTGAGCACACACTATACTTCCCTTTTAAAAAGATCTTCAGCCACAAAAAAAATCCATCTGTATATTTTATAATACATACAAATGAAGAAAGTAACATGAGTTCAGAATAGGTGACATCAAAGTCTTTTTTTTTTTTTACTCAAAAAGTTAACATGAGGTTTTATAGATTGAAAAAACACTGACCAGAATTTGTGAAATTCAGATACACCATATTTGATTCCGTTGGGTAATAAATAAATTTTATAATTAGCACTCTAAAAATATAGTGCATATGTCCTCAGTGCATTGTATTTTTAAGTAATTTAAGACCTTTCATTAATTAGTTCAGACGCAGTTTGCTTTGCCACTGGCTCTGTGTTTAAGTGTACAGGGAAGCAGGACTAAGTACTCACTTAAGAACATGTTTGGTGCCATACTGCCCAAGCCTGACTCCAGTTTCACCCTCTTTACCTTACTGGCTCTATCGTTGGTCAAGCCAACCATCTCTTTGAGTCTTGTTTCCCCTTCTGTAAAATGGCAATAATAAGAGTGCTGACCTCAAAGGATTGTTTGAGGCAATCCAGTGTGGCATGTGGTGAGCTCTGATGAGCTGCTATTATTATCATTATTATTATTATTATTATTTTTCAGTGTAGCCAAGAAGTAGGTCAAGATTTTATTTCCCTGATCCTGATTGAGTAGAGTTGAAGGATAATAAATCTGATTTGAAAAGAAGGGGAAAACTTTACATTGTTAATAGGTTTCCCCTGAAAATTCAGAATACAGATATTTACTCAGCATCCTTGTTCAGATGGAAAGTTCTATTAAATGAATATTTATTAATTCTTTTAGAATCCCATTGTATTCATTCACTGAATGAAAGATAGCATTTTTTTCTAATCAAATTAAACTTTGGTGATTTCAAAAGTAATTTAAAATAGACCAGCCTTTTTTTCTTCCTCCCTTCTATGGTTCCCCTTCCTTCAGTCCCCACTTCTAAATAAAACCTGTAACTATAAAAGAAATCAGTCAATATGATGAGCCATAAATATACGTAGGTGATCTGCAGGGAAACAAAAGGCACGGTGTTCCAGTCAAGAGCAGTTTATCTTCTAAAAACTTAAGTCAACAAAAAATAACTCCCATAATAAAATGAAGAGGGACAGTGAACCAACTAACATAGAAATGAACAGAATGGGCAGTGAAAGGAACATGGTAATAAAATAATACTGTAAAATTGTAAAACGGAGAAGGAAAAAAAATACTGATATTTAACCCAAGACAAAATGCCTACCTAGCTGGTTGGTGGAAATCAAGACTTTAAAAATGCAGGTGTAATAAACAGCAGAGGAACTTACAGACTTTCCTTTTTGAAACAGAAGTTGGTTTCCAGCCAGTGTGAAGTAACGGGTTTTCCACCTTTTGATGAACTTCCATCTGACTTGCTTCTCTTTAAGTTTCCCTTCTATGAGAGGCTGGCCGTCTTGATTTACAACTGTTGAAGGTAACAGACTGATCAAGCCATTTATTTTCCATTAGTTATTTGGCAAGTGATCAAAAGTCAGAATTGTCCAGGGAATCAGAACCCAGTAAAGCATATTTGGAAAGTGGGCTGATAAATTATGAATTTGGTTAACCTTTCTCCCTTTGTCCCTGAAAGGATGCACAGTTTAGATGATGGGAAAGTGTTGAAAGACCTCATAGAGATTTTCAAAAGAAATATGGTTCACAAAGAGAGCATCTGGTTAGCAGTTTCTAAGGTTGATCCAGATAGCCAGCTTTCTGTGCTTCGTAACTACTTTGTTTCATGATATTCTGTTCACATGAACCGCTGAGAAATATAACTTCATAAATAATCACAAAACACATATATTTAGCTATTTGGCAGCAAAAGTCAACACACTACTCCAAAAAGACATGTTTTCCTAAAAGCCATAACAGCTGCAAAGGCAAATTTACCCAGTTCTTTTGAACAGGATATTTCCACTCTCTGGAACCCACATACTCTCTCTTCACCCTCCACACTCCCATCTTTGCCTAGTTAACAACCAATAATGCATGTTTCAACTCCAATGTTGCTTCCTTTGGTAGACCTTCCCAAAACCCAGACCAGAGTGGCTTTGCCTGTTATATGTTCCCATAGCATCTGGCATGATTCTTTTATAGCAGGCATCATCATCTGTAGATGGTTAGTGGTGTCTATCTAATGCAGTGGTTCTCAACCTTCCTAATGCTGTGACCCTTTAATACAGTTCCTCATGTTGTGGTGACCCCAACCATAAAATTATTTTCGTTGCTACTTCATAACTGTAATTTTGCTACTGTTATGAATCATAATGTAAATATCTGATATGCAGGATGTATTTTCATTGTTACAAATTGAACATAATTAAAGCATAGTGATTAATCACAAAAACAATATGTAATTATATATGTGTTTTCCAATGGTCTTAGGCGACCCCTGTGAAAGGGTCATTCGACCCCCAAAGGGGTAGCGACCCACAGGTTGAGAACCACTGATCTAATGAATGTCTTTTTCCCCCATCCAACTGAAAGCTCCCTGAGGGCAGTGTCCCTGCTTTGTTCACTGTTGTATCACCAGGCTTTTAACACAGTGCCTGGCAAATAACAGGAAGTCTATAAATATGTGTTGACTGAATGGATTAATTAGACATTGAAGTATAGTGTTTATCGTTACGTTATTATTACACATAATCATAGAATTAGAAGATGTGTTACCATGTCAGAAGGTTAGATGTTGAATGGAGGAATTTAATTTCTTTTAATAATTACATTAAATTCACTTCTTAAATTTATATAAAAGCATCTAATTTCTGGGAAGTATGACAAAATTGACTTCTGTTGATTTTCACAGCAATTTGAAAGGAATGACATATTTTCTATCACTTGGAAATTTGGACAATGCCTGTTTGACCGTATCTTTCCTACCCTACCATTTCCCTTTCCTAATTTAGATCAAATAAGTATCTCAGAGGAAGATTTGTTCATCTTGACTGCATTTTCAAAGTAAGAATAATGAAGTATGTAGCTTTCACAAACAAAGTTCTAATGAGGCTAGTTTGGCGTTGTTCCTTGTCTGAAAAGTATTCAATTGGATGTCTCATTGTCAATCCCAAATTAAGGCTATAAATGGAAAATACATATCAAATATATATGATAAAAATAGAATAGAGAGTGATTGGCTTGGGGTTGGTGCACATGCGTTTAAGTCATCAGAAAAGACCTTGGACATTCCAGGTGACATTTGATCTGAGATATCAGTGTTGAGAAGCATCTCCCATCCTCTGAGAAACTTCACGGTGGTTAGTATTGTGCATAACAGAGACCAGGGAAAGCAGGAACCCAGGAAGTATTGACAGTCACATCAAGAAAATGATTTGTGGATGCAAGGATGGTACAATATCCACAAATCAATAAACATGATATATCACATAAACAAATTGAGAGATAAAAATCACATAATCATATCAATTGATGCAGAAAGAGCATTTGACAAAATCCAACACCCTTTCTTGATAAAAACTCTCAGCAAAGTGGGAATAGAAGGATCATACCTCAACATAATAAAAGCCTTATATAACAAACCTACAGCCAACATCATACTCAATGGGCAAAAACTAAAACCATTTTCCCCAAGAACAGGAACAAGACAAGGATGCCCACTTTCACCACTCCTGTTTGACATAGTACTGGAAGTGCTAGCTATAGTGATCAGACAAGAAGAAGAAATAAAAGGCATCCAAATTGGAAAAGAAGTAAAACTGTCATTATTCGTAGATGACATGATATTGTACATAGAAAACCCTATGTTTTTTTATTCCATCAAAAAACAACTAGCCTTAATAAATGAACTTGCCAATGTAGCAGGATACAAAATTAACACCCAGAAATTTATGGCTTTCTTATACACCAATAATGAGCTCACAGAAAGAGAAACTAAAAAAACAATCCCATTTACCACTGCAACAAAAAAAATTAAACTAAGGAGAAAATAAACAAATGGGACTACATCAAAATAAAAAAGTTTCTGGGATAGGGGGTAACGTGGGGATAAGGACACATATTTAATAACATAATCAATAAATAAAAATAAATAAAAAGTTAAAAAAGAACCTAGCTAGTGTTAAAGTACTCAAAAAAAAAGTTTCTGCACAGCAAAAGAAACCATCAACAAAACAACAAGAAAGCCCACTGCATGGGAGAACATATTTGCCAATCTTATCTCCAATAAGCGTTTAATTTCCAAAATTTATACGGAACTCATACATCTTAACAAAAGGAAGATCAACAATCAATCAAACAATGGGCAAAGAACCTAAATAGACACTTTTTGAAAGTGGACATACAGCAGGCTGAGAGACATATGAAAACATGCTCAAAATAACTAATCATCTGAGAGATGCAAATATTAGTAAAAATGACAATGAGGTACCATCTCACACCTGTCAGAATGGCTATCACCAACAAATCAACAAACAAGTGCTGTAGAGGATGTGGAGAAACCCTTGTTCACTGCTGGTGGGAATGCAGACTGGTGCAGCCACTTTGGAAAACAGTATGGAGTTTCCTCAAAAAATTATAAATGGAACTTCCATTTGACCCAGTAATCCCACTTCTAGGAATATATCATGACAGTGCTCTCGAGGATGTGCAGAAAAAGGAACCCTCTTGCACTGCTGGTGGGAATGCAGACTGGTGGAGCCATTGTGGAGAACAGTATAGCGTTTCCTCAAAAAATTAAAAATGGAACTTCCATTTGACCCAGTGATCCCACTTCTAGGAATGTATCCCAAGAAATCAGAAACATGAATCAGAAAGGACATATGCACCCTATGTTCATAGCAGCACAATTTACAATAGCTAAGATTTGGAAACAGCCTTAAGTGCCCATCAGCAGATGAGTGGGTTAAAAAACAGTGGTACATCTACACAATGGAATACTATGCTGCTGTAAAAAAGAACTCTTATCATTTGCAACAGCATGGATGGACCTGGAGAGCATTATGCTAAGTGAAATAAGCCAGTTGGAGAAAGATAAATAACACATGATCTCACTTATTTGTGGAATATAATGAACAACATAAACTGATGAACAAAATAGAGCCAGAGTCATACAAGTATCAAATAGACCATCCAACCTAAGAGGGAAGACACGGGGAGGGTGGGTAAGAGATCAACCAAAGGACTTATATGCCTGCATATGAGCATAACCAATGGACACAGACACTAGCGGGGTGAGGCCATGTGCTGGGGGTGGGCAGGTGGGAGTGGGGGGGGAGAGGTCAATGGGAGAAAAAGCAGACTTACGTAATACTTTAAACAATTAGAATTAAAGAAAAAATGATTTATGTTCTGCTTTGTTTTAGTAGTATTTGCATCATCTGACTTAGACCATTCTTGAAGCTAGTAATATTCTTTGCAAACTTAAATTTTCCATAAACAAGGAGCTTCCTTTGTGCAGCCTCTCTGCAGTTACTTCTGGTCCTACTTCAGGTAAAGTCACCTCAGGTGGAGCACTTAGGACACAGGCCTTCTCCAGGTGCTATGCTTTCCCAAGAGCAGGAGCTGCCTCACGCAGTGTCCGCCTGGGCTGTGTGTTCAATGAGTGTTTACTCACAGGGTGCTGTTGAGGCAGAATGAAGGGCACAGTGGCCTTTCTGGGAAGAGGAAGGAAAGGTCCAAGAGCAGATCCAAGAGGAGGAAAACAGGAAACAACAAACCAGCAACAACAAAAACCCAAACCAAAATAGCTTAAATTTAAAAAAATATAAACATTTTTATTGATTTCAGAGAGGAAGGGAGAGGGAGAGAGAGAAACATCCATGATGAGAGAGAATCATTGATTGGCTGCCTCCCGCATGCCCCACACTGGGGATCCAGCCCGCAACCTAGGAATGTGCCCTTGACTGGAATCCAACCTGGGACCCTTCAGTCCATAGGCTCTATCCACTGAGAAAAACTGGATAGGGCTAGATTAAAAAAAAATTAACACCATTTCCATGCTTTCAAACTAGAAAAAAAATTTGCTAACTTAATTGTAATATTCAAGGATTTTAAAATAAAATTTCAGAAGAGTTAGATTTGAGTCTTCTCAACTACAGTTTTCTGATCAATAATGAGGAAATAATAATAGCTCTCTCCTGCTTAACAAGAATGTTGAGAGATCGAAGTCAAAACAAAGAAATTTATGTGAGGACACTAGGTAGGTGGCAGAGCACTCCCCCAACCCCTGTCACTACTTTTATTAAAGACTTTACTCCACAATTTGTAATCACATTGCTTTCTTCCACGGTTTTCATGGAAAGATGATTTAAGGCAATGTCATTTACTAACAGGACATTTTTCCTGTCTTAGTTTTCCATATTTACTCAAAGAAGCATTTGAGATAGCCATGAGACCTGAGCCGATTTGAAACCATGATTGATTTAGGTAATATTTAGGCACATAGGAGATTAGCTACAAGTATTTCTCCTC